TGCTTGGTTTTCAGGGGCAGGATAAATGCTACAACTGCTTTCAGCTTTTGAAAACCAAAGATGCCTCCCCCTCTACTGCATTTACTGGGTGTAAATATCTCAGGGAGAAGGTACTTTGAATTCAAAATTCCATTGCTGGACAGACTCCCAAACATTTCATCTGTCAACTACTATAAATACAAGGAATTATGAAATGCAGAACACAGTACAAGATTTATTGGAAACACAAAAAGTGTCCAAAAGAATAAGTTTGTTGCCTTGTGTTTTTCTTCAAAACGGCAGTAAAATGAGATTCCTTCTTCAAGGTTAAGAATCTATTAAATAAAGAAGGAAACCGGGGGCAAAGGAGGCTTGCTTCCTAATTTGGGAGGGCCTGCCCGTGCCAGCCCGGCAGAGAGAACCCACAGTAGGGAAAGCCACGGGTAAGTCTCTGCTCAGTGCGGCAGATCTTTAGCAAACAGCTCTTTTCCAAGACGCCATTTTATCCAATCTGAATTGCAGCCAAGAGCTTAGGGACGCGGAGCTACCACTCACACGCTGGAATGTTATGTCACAAACGGACTGGCGAGAAGCAGCCACTATGTGTTCCGTGTTTGTTCCGTTTCTTCTGCTCTACGAGGGGCTGACGGGTGAGGAAATACCTGCAGACGGTGCCGCCCAACCCTCCTAGGAGACGCCACCTCGCGTGCACAGCTGCCTCTACTCCTGCCATCTAGGCTCGCCTGGCCTCTCGCTACAACATGTCGGCTGGGTACAGCGAGAGCCGCCTCCTGTAGAGCTGCCAGGGAGCTGCCAGGAAGCTCCCGGGGCCAGCCTGTGTCCGGGCCACCCGCGGGCGCCCGCGGCCGCAAGCCGGGCAGGGCTGGGCAATGCCCTTTCTACTCCAGGAGGCACCCGAATCATCCCCTTCAACTAGGGGTGGAGGCATGGATGGATGGGATTTTACAGCTTTGATTATCTAATTGCAGCTGACACTAAACCGATCTTCCTTCCTCTTTAAATTCTTTCAATTGTCACAAACATTTTCACTTCAGGACCCAGTTACAATTAGCATCACAGCCACTTTTCTTCTGTGTTTTTGAAAGTCAGCCAAAAGAATAACGGCATTTTGCCTATTGGCTGCAGGCGAATAAACTGCGGCTCTCTCATCCTGCCTTTGTTTTCCGCTCCTTCTTTCTCTCTTTTTCTAAACAACTCCTAAACATTTGGCATGCCAACACTAGCTGTAATATTCTAAATGAGCCCCATATGTAAATTGGCAAGTGTCCAGCTTCTTAATTACTTTCCTGCCTCTATCTAAAAAAGATCTAAGTAGCAAACACTGCCATATATTAATCAAAGCCTCTGTTTATAAATGTACAAAGCAGCCACCAAAACAGTACATTGTTCCGCCTTTGGCACAAGAAGTTATTATTATTATTTTTTTGACGATAAAAGCTCTCAAGTGTTTCAAGCTGGAGTTACCCTGCAAACTTGCAGAAACATAATCTGCACTGAACATGACATGATCAGGTGGCATTCTTTGGAATCTCTGGAAATCACTGTACTTACTAATACTCATCTTCCCAGTTAAGATCTGTTGCCATTTGGCTAAATGAACTCCCATCCAAATCAATATGTGAATTTACAAATCTACTTTTCCCTGTATTATTTTATGAGAAGGCCAATGTTTCATTTGCTGGTAATAGTCTTTATCTAAAGAGAACCTGGAATCAGGGCTGGGAAGCACCCTGGCCTGTCTGCCTCGCAGAAGCCCTTCGACCATTGGCAATAACTGACCGTCTCTCTCCGGCTACTGCCAGTGAAGGGGGAAGGAATAAAAGTTCTTCCAGAAACTTGAAAACCCTGCCCACCACCCTATATTTCCGCCACTCTCGTTCCACCTCTGTCCTCTGGGGCTGCCCAGGGTCAGCGGGGCTCTCAGGCCAGCCCTTTGACAGCTGAAATGCCCACAGGCTCTCCTCCTCTCGGGCTTGTTGTAGGCTCCCCTCTGTTGTTCTCCCAGTCCTTAGAGGGCATTTCTAGGCCTTTATTGCCCTGTCTGCTCTGGATGCCCTTGTGTGCAAGCCTGTGTTTCCCATGAGGGATGGCTGCCACAGGATGCTGCCTGAGAACAGTCACAGCATTAACCACTGGCAGGAGGCTCAGCTGGATGCCAGAAAGCTATGTTTAGAATTGTTAGCCCATTACAAAATTGGTTTCACTTGACTGAATTTCACTTCAACATCAGCATTATCAAATATTAAAAGCATCTAGGACTTATTTTTGCATGCAAGTATTAGAAGTCTTGGTTACCTTCTAAAATGGGATATTTGTGACATCAATAATGCTACAAAACCAATGACGCTTCTGGCCAACGCCCAGGCCAAAGTGGGTGACAGCAAGAAGTTGACACCAAGAACAGAAGGGATGGCTGACCTGGTAAGAGGTAGGGAGTTGGGGGGCAAGATCTGAAATTGTTGTTCTGTGGGGACCTGCAGCCTAGCAAAAGTTCACCTGGTTCTCAAACATGGGCTGCTCTTTATTGTCACAGGATACAGTGAGATTCCTGGTCACTGGAAGACTAATGCTATCTACACCTGTTGCCTGTTCTGTAAAAAATACAGTCAACTCTGTTTTTGTCCCTACTGCGTCTTGACACGTTCCAACTTGCCTGTCATTAATTCATGCCCCTGGGCAGAGAACAACCACAGAGCATTCAGTCGTCAGTAAAGAGCTGTGCTATAGGCGTCTGCAGGATGTATTCCTGTATCTGAGCAGCTAGGTCATATTACCCAACATTTTGATAAATCCTGCCAAATGCCTACTTACATTCCGACCAACAGCACACCAGTGTCGCCTTTTCCCACACTCTTGCTGATCGTCTGCGGTGGTTACAGGGTCTTGAGAAGATTAAGTGAGTTAATATGTGTAAAGCAATTGGACCTTGCAAATGGTAAGCACTCAATCCATAGTACTGTGTTATTGCAATAGAGGGATATTAACAAGATTTAAAGTTTTGACAATTTGGTAAGTGAAAGTGGTCTATCAAATGCTGTTTCTATTTATCTTTTCCCTGATGACAAGGAAATACTTTTTTTATTTTTATTTTTTTGAGACAGAGTCTCGCTCTGTCGCCCAGGCTGGAGTGCAGTAGTGCGATCTCGGCTTGCTGCAAGCTCTGCCTCCCAGGTTCACACCATTCTCCTGCCTCAGACTCCCAAGTATCTGGGACTACAGGCGCCCACCACCACGTCCGGCTAATTTTTTGTATTTTTATTAGAGACGGGGTTTCACCGTGTTAGCCAGGATGGTCTCGATCTCCTGACCTCGTGATCGACCCACCTCAACCTCCTAAAGTGCTGGGATTACAAGGCGTGAGCCACTGCGCCCAGCCACAAGGGAATACTTTCAACATACTTAGGACCCATTTGTGGTAGTTCTATGATCTGCCTGTTCACATTCTTTGCCCATTCTTGTATTGGACTGTTTTTCTTTTGATTTGTAGGAACGCTTGGTATTTTTGAGATATTTACCTTTTGCTATTTACACTGTAAACATGTTCTCTCAGATTTTATTCATATTTGTGTACAAAAATTTTAAATTTGTATACCCTCAAATCTGTCAGTCTTTCTTTTCATGGCTTATGATTAACATTTTATCCCAATATTTAGAAAATACTCTTAGGTCATCTTTCTGTAGTTCTTATATTTGTCTTGCATATGGCTTTCCAGCACTCAATATTGATCTGAATCACTATTTTCTCAGTGATCTGCAACTCTCCGTGTATACATCTGTTTTTCCCCCTGCTCTCTTTATATCGTAGTTCCTGGATCTGTGTTTACTCCTGCCCTAGACACACACTGTTAAAATTACTCAAGGATCACAGCTCCCAGTGATAGCTCATTATGCTTTTTCAGTTTTTTGGCTCTTCTATTCACGTACATTCACTCTTCTAAATGAACTTCAGAATTAGTCTATCAAGTTCCAAAAGCAACTTGTTGGAAGAGCTTTAAATCTGAATTTAATTTGGCTCTATTACCAAAAGAAGCTTTTATGCTGGTTTATTACTACTACTTAGTAATACCAACAGCCTACTTTTCGAGCCTTAGATCTTCCCGCTGCCCCCCCGCCACAATGAGCCTGCAGCAGTTACTGAGAGGCTTTACAATTGTGGGTCTGCGCTTTTCGTGCATGCAGGTCACTCCACCTGCAACGCTCTTTCAACTTCTTTGCCCGGCACAGCTAACTTGAAACTCCGCTCGTATCACCTCCATCAGAAAGACTTCCTTGCAGTCCCCTATCCGTAGTTTGGGTTAGTTGTCCTTTCCACGTGGCACTCTATCCTTACCTCTGTTACAACACCTGGAAGTGGCTTACTTATTGGTTATTCCAAAACACTTCACTCATGAATTGTGCATCCCCAGTGCCGGGTATGTGATGTTTGGTAGGCATTCAACAAATATTCTGCTCAATGAACAAAAGATGACACACATGACAAAACCACAGTTCTGAAAGGCTAGCATCTTCCTCCCTTCTCAGAGCTGTGCAAGCCAAGTGTGGCACTGCTACCTGAACATTCTCACATAGGAAGAAAAGGAAAAAGAGTGAAAGAGTGTGAAGCTAGTACACTAGTTTGTCTAAGAAGTGGCACAACATGTGGTTGCAATTTTCTAAAGAAACAAGCTTGCAGATTAATGTAAATCAAAAGGTGAATTATGACAAAGTATTGCAAGAGCCAGATGAATCTACTGATTTACATCCTGTTAGGAAGCATGTGCTATATAAAGAAAAAGAACAACGAAATAAATAACTGTCAGACTAAGTCTCTTTTCTTTTTTTTTTTTATTTTATGGAATCTTGCTCTGTTGCCCAGGCTGGAGTACAGTGGCACGATCTCAGCTCACTGCAACCTCTGCCTCCCAGATTCAAGTGATTCTCTTGCTTCAGCCTCCCGAGTAGCTGGGGTTACAGGCGCCTGCCACCACACCCAGCTAATCCACCCGCCTCGGCCTCTCAAAGTGTGGGGACTACAGGCGTGAGCCACCGCACCTGGCCTATGTAAGTCTCTTTTCTAATTTCACCAGTTGCCTTGTACTGTAATAGTATATAAATTTTATCTATACTTACACAGCTAAAAATGCTACAAATTCCATTTTTAACTCTTTAAAAATGTTCCCATTTCTGCTCCTCTATTGCTTAATTTTATCCATAAATCCTCTCTGTTTATTGCAATGGACACGTAAGTTTTCCATTAGTACAGTACGGGACTATAACATTACTTCCACGGGAAAGCAGCAGGCAACTGGTCAAATACTCAGTTATGGGGAAACGAGGATGCCCACAAATCTTCACTGTGCAACTTTTTAAAGCTATGACAAAGGTGACTTGAACTCCATCGATTCCTTCCACGAATACTTCACCTTCTTTAGTTTTTGCTGAGCACACTAAAACATGGGGGGAGGACACAAAGAGCTTACATACTAACACACCTGGGAAAAACACAGAAATCCATGTGCTAAGCTGAAAGAACTTTCAGCTTTGCTTTTCATTAGAAATGGTGTGCTGTTAAATTCCTAAGGATTCCTCACCTGCCCCCTGCTTGGTTAATTCAACCTTAGTTCTACTGACCCAGCATTTGTACTTCTGTACTTCTTTTTAATTTAACCTTACAAGTTAGAGCAATGTAATCACGAATAAAACTCTATTTTTTGTTTTAATGTAGAAGTGACTGTAGGAGTCACTTCTGCATTAAAGTGACAGATACAAGTACAACGAAAATCTATGTATTACTTTTAAGAAAATTTTAAGAGCTTTTATTTCAAACTGTATCTAAAAATACTTTCACTGCAACCAGAAATCTGGTTACTCCTCAGGAATACACTAATACAATTTCACCTGGATATGAATTCATTAAACAACTGTAATATGAAAAAGAGAACTCTAGGACAGACACGTGAAATTTCAAAATATACACAAATCACAGAGTGATGAGAAAGCTTTACTGCACTGTTTTCGAATTTAGTCAGTTAAAAAATTTGAGTATTTTTTTGAAACAGGTCTTGCTATGTTGTCCATGCTGGTCTTAAACTCCTGGGCTAAAGTGATCTTTCTCCCTCAGCTTGTCAGGTAACTGGGATTTGTAAACACTCTGCTTCACAATGGTGTTTCAAAGACGGGTACATATTTGTTGTATATTTCAAAGTCTCACATTAACAACTATCACCTGCATTACTCAACACTTATTATAAGCAAGGCCTTGTGCTGAATATGAAATAAATACCTCATCTTTAAAATTAGGAATCTCTTCACTTCAAAGATGAGTCGAAAATGCAGGGAGTGAATGTGATTTGGTCAAGGTCGCACAGGAGGTGGTGGGTCTGGAAAGTGAATTGGGCCTGTCTCTTGACCACTTTGCCACACTGCCTCCATGCACGCTGATGCTCACCTACAATCCCTGTGCCAACACCATAACAACATGGGATAGTGTTTCAGAAAGGCCTTCCACTGACAAAATCAAACGAAGTCATTGGAATAGTGTCCGAGTCAGAAATTTAAGGGCAGGGACCTTAGAGATTAGAGGTCATGAGAGGTTCAAACTTCTCATTTTAGATGAGAAATGGAAGTACTAGTTGGTGGCATAATAAGTTCTAGTTTCCAAGTCCTCACCTATGGTTCAGATATTTTCCCATTCTGCTTAATCATAGAAAGCTCAGAGACATTATTTATTTTTTCCTGTTGCCCAGGCTGGAGACTCGATCTTGGCTCACTGCAACCCCCAACTCCCAGGCTCAAGCGACTGTCCCACCTCAGCTTCTTGAGTAGCTGGGACCACAGGCACGTGTCACCACGTCTGGCTAATTGGGTTTTGCTATGTTACCCAGGCTGGCCTCGAACTCCTGAGCTCTAGCAATTCACCCGCCCAGGACTTCAAAGTGCTGGCAATACAGGTGTCAGCCACCGCGCCCGACCTCAAACATTGTCTTCATAGGATATTTCCAACTTAGTTGAAAGGCAAGACTTTTATGACCTAATCAGCAAAAAATATAGGATATATAGTATACAGTAAGTGTAAAGGTGTGTGTTACAAACTAGGCATATTACATCTGTAAGAATAGAATGGAGACAGAGCTGCTTGGGGAAGCCTCAGGGGTGCGGGGTGACAATGAACTGGAAGGAAAGCAGGGGTGGGAGGGGCAATTAAGCATGTGTGCATAGGGGGAGGGGACTTGACAGCGATCATGGCACACTTGTGAGACAGTAAGAAAGCAATCCCAATCATAATAGAAAGTAGGCCATGGAGACCAGGCACGGTGGCTCATGCCTGGAATCCCAGCACTTTTGGAGGCTGAGGCAGGTGGATCACCTGGGGTAGGAGTTTGAGACTATCCTGACCAACATGGTGAAACCTCTTCTCTACTAAAAACACAAAATTAGTCATGCATGGTGGCAGTCGCCTGTAATCCCAGCTACTCAGGAGGCTGAGCCAGGCAGGAGAATCACTTGAACCCGGGAGGCAGAGGTTGCGGTGAGCCAAGACTGTGCCATTGCATTTCAGCCTGGGCAACAAGAGAGAAAGTCAGTCTCAAAAAAGAAAAAGGAAAAAAGAGGAAGTAGGCCATAGAAAGTAGAAGGGAAAAATGATGGGGAGACTCAGCTATGAAGGGCCTTCACAGCCAGACAGAAAAATGGAGAGTACATTAGTAACTAGGTGACCAGGGCAGATTTGTGAGGGGGCCCCTCATCAATGAAGGTGATGAGTTAGAAAGATGCATCTGGCTCTGATACCAGAGACTGTTAAGGAAGAGATGAAATTGGTATAAAATGAAGATTTTTGTTTGGGAGTCGAGAATGAATTTATTTTGTGCTCACTACAAAGATTGATCAATTTTTTTTTTTTTTTTTTTTTTTGAGGAGTTGGTCTGTACCAGCTGGAGTAGTGGCGATCTCGTCACTGCAATCGCTCCGGTTTACCATTCTGCTCAGCTCCGAGTACTGACTAGCGCCGCACTCGCCCTATTTTTTTTTTTTATAAGACGGTTTTGTTAGCAGATGTCTGATCTTATGTATGTCTCGCTCCAAATTGATTCGTTACCCGGATGATCATTTTTGAGACGTTTTTAATCCATAAAATGATTTATGTTCTTCTATATATTGTATATAAATATGCATATATAGTATATAAAAATATATATTTTATACTATATATAAATATACATATATAGTATAGATAGATATATAGTATGTAAAAATATATATATACACACACACACACACACACCTTTTTTTGAAATGGAGTTTTGCTCTTGTCGCCCAGGCTGGAGTGCAATGGCGCGATTTCTGCTCGCCGCAACCTCCACCTCCCAGGTTCAAGCAATTCTCCTGCCTCAGCCTCCCGAGCAGGTGGGATTACAGGCATGCACCAACACGCCCAGCTAATTTGGTATTTTTAGTACAGACTGGGTTTCTCCATGTTGGTCAGGCTGGTCACAAACTCTCGACCTCAGGTGATCCACCCACCTTGGCTTCCCAAAGTGCTGGGATTACAGGCATGAGCCACCGTGCCCAGCCTACAATATATATTTTAGAAGGATTATGAACTAGGAATATTTTCTTGGATAATGTTATCATATTTACAGAGACAAATATTTAATGAAAGAATATTATCATAGCAAGGTTTTATTGACTTAATTGCTTATTTTCTACTTACCTAAGAAGATACCAGTAACATTCTGCACCAGCAGCATTTGATGAGAACACTGATGCAATACTGTCAACCAATCACATCACAACCAGATACAACCAGAACAGGCAGGGCTGTTACATTTCTTATTCAGTTTTTCAAAATAAGCCCCTTAAATTAACACACCAAGCTATTTAGGTCTAACTATAGAATCCTTTTCTCTGTTAAGATTTTCCCAAGGACCATATTGGGAAAGTAGCACGTTTGATTGTAAACGGTTGGCAACTAAATAGATGAGACTATACTCTTGGTCAGTGAATATATTTTATCTTTTCTGCCTTGCTTTTTGGTGACAATCATTGACCTATATCCCCTCTACAAAGTGGTTAGCAGATGAAAGTCAAGGCTATTTGAAGAGACTTGGTAAAGTTGTCTAAAAATATTAGTTCTGACTATACTCCAAAGTCATAGTTCTGAAAAACATTGCTATAAATACTTTTAGGTCATGCTAGAATCAGTCCCCATATTAAAAAGCAACACATGAAAGAAAACAAGAATATGACTTGTGACATGTTTCTTTTAAATTCCAATCTAAGAAGCCTCCTTGCATATCTAATTACAGACCTTAATTTCACAACCATGAGCAGGTAAGTTTCCATTCTAGAAACAGCACCAATTATTAGTTGTTACTTGAAACCGAAAAATTGAAGAATCTAACAGAGAACATGGCAGTTGACCACAAATACTTCGTTCTCTTCCAAAAATTCCTTAAAACTACAGTACATGAATTTTTCAAAAGTACAAATCCATCAAGTCAAGGAGATTGGAAAAGAAGCTGACATGAAATGAGAGACATCTACATTTTGGCAGCTGGAAAGCAAATAAACAAGTGGTGATTTTTCTTAGAAGCCAAAACAAAGCTAACAACTAGTTACAGGCAAGGAAGCAACAAGAAGTGGGGCTTAGGATGAGGAGACATCAGACAGGCTTGGCTCAATGTGTGTGACTAAGTTACAGTTAGAAACACTTAGTGGAAGGATCAGTCCCTGCAAAAAATGCTTGTGTGCACTCATAAGACAGACTAGGAAATTGAGAGAAAAGGGTTTTACTGAAAAGTTTTCACTGCTGGGTTCTAAAGTATCTGCCTTGATGGGTTCGTATGAACTAATGTACAGACCTTTAGTTTCTGATGAAAAATAAGCTCAGCTGAAGTACCTCATGCCATCTGCAAACTCATGAGCAATAATGTAAATAAACAGAGGGAAAACACAATTAAATTTTAAAACCCACTTGAAATGAAATGAATTTGTCTGTCTCTGTGTATGTAGTGAGTATGGACCAAAATATGTCATTTCTATTGTTCAGCAGCAAAGCTGAAAATAGCAAACAGTTTTCAGATCAAAATGAATGTCTCATCTTATGTGGTTTTTACCTGGTTGGAGCTTACTGGGATGATGCTGTGTTCCGGCTCCAGGTAGGGGAGGTGGGCTTACCCCTGCAGGCCCAGCACCCTGGGTTGGGCTCACACTGGTTAGAGTCCCCGTAGGCAATGGCTGGCCTCTCTTTAATAGCTGCTTCTGTTCTTGCTGGCGGAAGCGTGGAGGCACCTCACGAGGCAGGTAACGGGATGCAGCTGGCTGCTGGCCACCGGCACATGAACGTTTGCCATTGTTGCTGCTGGAGATAGTGCTGGTGGAAGTACTGGTACTGGTACCGGCAGGTTGGGGCTGGCTTGAACAGGTCTTAGTAGGTTCTGGCACTAAAATGAGCAAAAGGCAAAAGAACCCAAAACTTTAGCTAGACCCCCTTAAAACCCAACCCAGACCAAAGAAACCATAACTAAACACTGAGAAAAAATGACAATGCAGTGCTCTGGAAACAGAACTGGACTGAAGTCTAGAGTTCCTAGTTTTGGAAACAGAGCTGGACTGAAGTCTAGAGTTCCTAGTTTTGGAAACAGCTGGACTGAAGTCTAGAGTTCCAAGTTTTGGAAACAGAGCTGGACTGAAGTCTAGAGTTCCTAGTTTTGGGAACAGAGCTGGACTGAAGTCTAGAGTTCCTAGTTTTGGGAACAGAGCTGGACTGAAGTCTAGAGTTCCTAATTTTGGGAACAGAGCTGGACTGAAGTCTAGAGTTCCTAGTTTTGGGAACAGAACTGGACTGAAGTCTAGAGTTCCTAGTTTTGGGAACAGAGCTGGACTGAAGTCTAGAGTTCCTAGTTTTGGAAACAGAGCTGGACTGAAGTCTAGAGTTCCAAGTTTTGGAAACAGAGCTGGACTGAAGTCTAGAGTTTCTAGTTTGAGACCTAGTTTTGCTACACACAAACCAATCTTGAGCATTTGAGCCAGCTATTCTTGGGCCTTGGTTTCCTCATCTGCAAAATCAAGGTGATACAGTAAGACTGGAGCAGCAGTTCTCACACTTGGTTTGCATCACAATCACCTAGAGGGCTTATGCGAGCCTAGACACCTGGTGCCCACCTCCAGACTTTCTGATTCAGTATCAAAAAGCAAGGAGAAACTGGGAATTTGCTTTTTTTTTTTAGCGTCAGACGGTGTCTCACTCTGTCACCCAGGTTGGAGTGCAGTGTGGCGCCATCTTAGCTCAGTGCAACCTCCACCTCCCGGATTCAAGTGATTCTCCTGCCTCAGCCTCCAGAGTAGCTGGAATTACAGGTGCAGGCCACCAAGCCCAGCTACTTTTTATATTTTTAGTAGCGATGGGGTTTCATCATGTTGGCCAGGCTGGTCTCGAACTCCTGACCTCAAGTGATCCGCCCGCTTCAGCCTCCTCAAGTGCTGGGATTATGGGTGGGAGTCACCATGCCTGGCCAGAATTTGCATTTCTAACAATTACTGAGACGATGTTGATGCTGCCGGTTCTTGCACCTCTCTATGAGAACCACTGCTCTTGTTCAATATTTATAAAACGAAAGAATCTTCAGGTGTCCATGAATTTATATGTATTTTTGTTTTAACTCTGATGATAATGTATAGAACATATATTGGTGCATTCTGGGTTATCTGAATAATTAAAGCAAAATAATGACGTTTTAGTCAGCAACTGACTTCATATATGACAGTGGTCCCGTAAGATTATAATGGAATTGAAAAATTCCTATTGTCTGGTGACACAGATGTTGCAATGTCGTAGTATAACACATTACTCATGTGTTTGTGGTGATGCTGGTGGTAACAAACCTACTGTGCTGCCAGTCATATAAAAAGTCTAGGGAGGCCAAGGTGGGTGAATCACCTGAGGTCAAGAGCCTGAGACCAGCCTGGCCAAAATGGCGAAACCCTCTCTACTAAACACACACACACACACACACACACACACACACACACAAGCCAGGTGTGGTGGCACGTGCCTGTAATCCCAGCTATTCAGGAGGCTGAGGCAGGAGAACTGCTTGAACCCGGGAGGTGGAGGCTGCAGTGAGCTGAGATTGCGCCACTGCACTCCAGCCTGGGCGACAGAGCGAGACTGTCTTTAAAAAAAAAAAAAAAAAGTCTAGCACATACATTATGTACAGTAGTAATTATGTACAGTAGTACATAATGGTTCAGAATAACTATGTTACTGGTTTATGTATTTACTATGTCTTTTGTCATTATTTTAGAGTGTATTGCTTCTACAAAAAAAAAAAAAAAAACAAACAAACCACCACGAACAACAGTTAACTGTAAAACAGCCTAAGGCAGGTCCTTCGGGAGATATCCAGAAGTCATTGTTATCAGAGGAGATGAAAGTTCCACGCATGTTATCTTCCAGTGGGACAAGATGTGGAGGTGGAAGACAGTGATACTGATGATTCTGACCCGTGTAGGCCTTGGCTTGTGTGTGTGTTTGTGTCTAGGTTTTTAACAAGTTTAAAAGTTTAAAAAAAAAAATTAAACACAGAAAAGACTTAGAGAATAAGGATATAAAGAAAAATATTCTTTGTACAGCTGTACAATGTATCTTTTAAGCTAAGTATTATTATGAAAGAGTAAAAAAAACTTAAAAAAATTAAAAAGCTGTATTCCTGAAAAAAAAAGTTTTAAAAATAAGTTTAGTGTGGCCTAAGTGTATAGTCATGTCCTAGGCCTTCACATTCACTCACCACTCACTGACTCCTCAGAGCAACTTCAGTCCTGCAAGCTCCATTCATAGTTAACTGCCCTATACAGGTGTACCTTTTTAAAATTCTTAATAGCGTATTTTTCTTGTCCCTTTCCTATGTTTAGATAACATAAATACTTACCATTGTGTTGCAACTGCCTACAGTATTCAGTACAGTAATATGCTGTAGAGGCTTGCAGCCTAGGAGCGAAAGGTTCTACCACCTGGCGTAGGTGAGTAGCAACCTATACCATCGAGGTTTGCACAGCGACAAAACAGCCTAACGATGCATTTCTCAGAATGCATCTCTCTGTCAAGCAAGGTATGATTGTACCACTGAATTTCAGTGTCAGCAACTGTGGTCCGGCATCTGTAGCACCGCCACACTCTGCCAGATTTACTGAATGCAGTTGGGCCTACTGTGCGAACAATGAATTTGCATTAAGTGAAGGTCCAAAATCATATTAAAGTTGCATAAACAAAGATTTCATAGTAATTTAAATTTTAAAAAAGGAGCAGAAGAGTTGGGTCATAACCTAATAATAGAGTTTACTAATAAGCATGCCAAATGCAAACAGTGATTCTAGTAGTAACTCTGCACGCCGACATGTAAAGTGCAAAAGAGTCTTGCGTCTCAATAATCAGAGTCCCACCTCATCTTGTACACAAAACATCATTATCCAGGTCATTACATTTATCTTGTTATTTGAAAACACTTTTGGTTTTCTACTCAATTTGTAAACATCACTGGTTTGATAGTTGAAAAAAGCTATGTACAAAATGAGTTTATACCTAGTTCTGTACATACCTTTTATGTAGAAGAAACAATAAAAAATATTTTAAGTCAACAATGGGGGGTGGTTCATGATACGGTACTGTTTTCCTTTACATTGCCAGCTCCAGTCTACCTGCAGTTTTTGTCTCTCAACGTGGAATTGACCATCTACCATGTGAACACTACAATGTCTACACTGCCAGTATCCTCCAGGTCTTTGCCTCACTGTCTAGCTGTCACCAATGCTTGGCAAGTCCTTAGTCCTGGATGAACCCACTGTCTACTCTCCTTACTTCCTGACTCAGGTTGCTAAGTAGCTCTCAAGAAAATCATGTGACATGCAGTTTGGTACCACTATGAATGCATGGTCCCTGAATGCATGGTCCCGGCCTCAGAACGCCCTCATTGCTTCCTGTCAATCCTGCAACTTCCTGGGTCTGCCTTGTTCCAGTGCTGTCAACAATTCATTTAAAGATCTTCCACTCCTGAACTCCTAATGCCTTTACCTCCTTGTTCCCACTTCTCCCCATCTCCAGAAAATGAACTTGACTACTCTGCAGAATAAATAAAAGCCATCAAGTAAAAACTTCAAGTTTCTGTCACTACAGATATATGAGTGTCACCCTGTTCTTTGTCCCACATCTGTTACTCCTATCTAAGGCTAATACTGTATTCCATCAACTCGAAGACGCACATCCCTTCACAGGTTACCATCACTTACATTGGGATGTGTCTTATAATGGATGACATGTCAGTGCACAGGCAGCATATTTTCCTTTCTTAATGGTATGTGCAATACCGATATGTCTCACAATCAATGGGGTCAAAGAGGCAATGCAAGGGGGCACCCTCCAAACCTCTGGATCCTATCTTAGGGACTTTGCGTGTCCTGGGTCTTCAACTCACAACTCTCTCCAAAGTAGATATGAAGGCCCAAAACATAAGATTGGGTCTTGGATCAATTCCTTGCTTTACAAATATTTCTCTATTTTTTTTCTAGCCAGAGTTTTAATGAGGGAACCGAATATAAAAAAGAAGAGGGTTGCTGTGTTTGTGTGCAGAGTGAAAGAAATTGCATTTCCAGCCTGTAACTGGCCCAGGGACTGTCTGGCTACTGTAATTAGCTCCTTCTCATTATCATTTGAACACGTTCAAATCTTTAATCTCTTCACAAATGGCAACAATCACCTTTCTCCTGGACTCCACATTCTCCTCCAGCTCCTCCCACTCTCTCCTGTCCTCCTGCAAACCTTCATGGAAACTGACTACCCAAGGCCATAATTTCTTCCTTGCTGCTAAAATCCAAGGCCATGTTATCTTTTGACCCCTCAGTCTTTAGACCAAAAGACCCCCGAGCTGTCTTTATCAGCGATGACCACTCCTGCCTTCTTGCCTGTCTACTCCTCCATGCTGTATTTCCCGTCCCCCTTGGCAGGTTTCCTTTTATGGCTTTGTTGTCCACTCTTTTATACTTGATACAGTTCAAAATCAACATGTCCCATATACTCATCAGCTTTCTTGCCTCGCCCTTCTGAATATTTCAATCTCTCCTACATCTCATCAATCACCAAACCTTGTCATTTATATTAATAGCACCTAAATACCCTCCACCCTCAAATATCACTCAGTTTCATCCATCTATTTTCATTCCAACTGTCACCATCAGAACCTGGGCACCCTCATCTCTTAGCTACAATACTATAAGAGACTTTCTAATCCACCATCTATACTGCAGCCACTGTGATCCTTCTGAAATGCAGATTTCTTCCCTGGTTTAAAACTCTGAGGTCTTGTAACGTTCTCAGAATAAAATCCAAACTCTCTGCAAGGTCCACGTGGTCCTGAGCAGTAAGACTCCCAGTTCCCCAGACTTAGCTTTGAGGTTCAGCAAGTGCTAAACTCCCCTGTGAGCTGCTTGCTTCTTCATCTAACTACCACGTTTCATCAATTCTAGGGCACATTTCCTAACATTTCAACATTTCTGAAATTGGGATGCATGTTAAAACTGACAATGAATGTATCAGTTTAACTATTTTTTTCTTTCTTAGTGGTACACAAAATAGTGCATAATACAATTGATAATGTCAGAGTAAAAAAATGTGGCAATTCCTAGTTGTTCTTTAAATATCAGACTAAATGTCACTTTCTCTCCAAACCTCCTGTGACTCACCTAAGCCAGTCTAGGTGCTTCTGACTGAACATCCACAGTACCCGGTATTTGGCACAGCACTCAGCATTGTGTATATTACTTTTTTAAATGACTGTCTTCTTCTCTAGGCTGTAAATTATGGCAGCATGGTGCCTGACAACAGTGAGTGCTACATAAATGTTGAAGGAGTGTTTTTCTCAAACATATAAAGTTTAAAAAATACAGAGACAGCAACATAATATAAAGAAATTAGTTGATATAAAAAACCACTAAGGCTAGAGACCTCAAAAACTTGGATTCACTTCCAGTAATTTTCATATCCCTAGACTTCAGTTTTCTCATCTGGAAATGAAAGGTTTAGATTAGCTGACACCCTAAGGCTTCTTCTAATTCTGAAAGCCTATGGTTTAAGTGAAACCCAGAGAACACGACATGCAGTTTTAATTTTGTGATGGCTAGCATTTCAGGGTCCACAGATTTCCTCCTCCCTATGTCCAGCCTGTCTCTGCTTCTATTTCCCCGGCCTTGATATAGACATGAAATGCTTTTTGTAATTACTTTAGACTTTAAAGTTCTTTACCTTTATATGGAATGAACATCCATTATATCTTTTCTTTTTAAAGAAAGGTGCAGAACCTATTTATTATAAGTTGAAGTTGATTCTTAAATGTATAGGGGCCTTCAAATATAAATAGATATATATTTTCCTGATAGTGACCTTCAGCTAATTATAATAACAGAAAAACTAAGAGGTATTTACCCAAATGAGTTGAAAACTTACATTCATACAAAAACCTGCACACAAATGTTTATAGCAGCTTTATTCATAACCGTCAAAAACTGGAAGCAACCAAGATGTTTTTCAGTATGTGAATGGATAAACTGGTGCATTCAGACAATGGAACATTATGTGATTTAAAAAAATTAGTTATCAAGTCATGAAAGCATAGAGGAACTAAAAATGCATATTGTTAAGTTCAAGAAGCCAATCAGAAAAGTACAGTATGTAGAAAATCCACAGTATGTAGATACCGTATGATTCCAACTACGTGACATTTTGGAGAAGGCAGAACTACAGGGATGGTGGAAAGATCAGTGGTTGCCAGGGGAGTGGGGGATGACTATGGGGAGCACAGGGGATTTTTAGGGCAGGGAAACTGCAATGATGGATACACAATATTGTGCATGTCAAAACCCATGGAGTGTATAATACAAATAGTGAACCCTAATGTAAACTGTGGAATTTAGTTAATAATAATGTATTGGCCAGGTGTGGTGGCTTATGCCTGTAATCCCAGCACTTTGGGAGGCCGCGGTGGGTGGATCACCTGAGGTCAGGAGTTTGAGACCACACTGGCTAACACGGTGAACCCTGTCTCTACTAAAAATACAAAAATGAGCTGGGCGTCATGGCACACACCTGTAATCCCAGCTACTCAGGAGGCTGAGGCAGAAAAGTCCTTGAACCTGGGAGGCGGAGGTTGCAGTGAGCTGAGATCGCACCATTGCACTCCAGCCTGGGCAACAGAACAAGACTCTGCCTTTAAAAAAAAACAAAAAAACAAAAAAACAAAAAAACAAAAAACAGTATCAATACTGGAACATCAGTTGTATCAAATGTTCCACACAAATATGGGAAACTAGGGGTGGGAAGGAGAGGGAATACACGGGAACTTTGTACTTTCAGCTCAATTGTTTTGTAAACTTAAAATTGCTCTAAATAATACAGCCTATTAATAAAAAATGGAAATACAACCCACGACAGAGAAGAAAACTTGCTGTCTCTTTCACAATAGCAACTTTCCAAATAAAACTGAGAGCACAATACATAGACATTTGTCTGGTAAACTTAAAACCACTCAATGTATTTTAAAATTACACTCAACATACTAGCAATTATTTTTTCACACACTTTAATGTATCTGCCTCAAAAGGTTTTTTTGTTTTTGCTTTTTTTTTTGAGACAGTTTTATTTGCTCTTGATGCTCAGGCTGGAGTGCAGTGGCACAATCTCAGCTTACTGCAACCTCTGCCTCCCGGGTTCAAGTGATTCTTCCTGCCTCAGCCTCCCAAGTAGCTGGGATTACAGGCATGCACCACCATGCCTGGCTAATTTTTGTATTTTTAGTAGAGATGGGGTTTTACCATGTTGGCCAGGATGGTCTTGAACTTCTGACCTCAGGTGATCCACCCACCTTGGCCTTTCAAAAGTGCTGGGATTACAGGCGTGAGTCACGGTGCCCGGCCAGGCTTTTTTGTTTGTTTTTTGAGACAGGGTCTCACTTTCGTTGCCCAAGCTGAAGTGCAGTGGCATGATCACAGCTCACGGCAGCCTTGGCTTCCCAGGCTCAGGTGACCCTCCCAGCTCAGCCTCCCAAGTGACTAGGATGACAGATGCCTATCACCATGTCCAACTAATTTTTTGTATCTTTAGTAGAGATGGGTTTTTGACGTGTTTCCCAGGCTGGTCTTGAACTCCTGGACTCAATCTACCCACCTCAGCCTCTCAAAGTGTTGGGATTACAGGCGTTAGCTACTGTGCCCAGCTCAAAAGTTACATTCTAGACTCAACAAGTGCTTCTTGGAAAGCTAGGAATATTGGTTCTTTTACTACAAAATTCAAAAGCAGCAACAGCAGAAGAGGAGGAGGAGGAGGAGGAGGAGAATAAAAAAAGAGAACTATTAGCAAGCTACAGAAATTTTTGTGATGAAAAACCCAGTTTCTCTTTTCTAAATAACTGACATTGGATGGCTAGCTACTATAAAAGTCAAAGTACAGTCATCCCTCAGTATCCAAGAGGGATTGGTTCCAGAAACCCCCTTGGATGCCAAAATCCACAGATGCTCAAGTCCCTGATATAAAACAGGTTATTATTTGCATATAACCTACGCACATCCTCCCACATACTTTTTGTTGCTTTTAACTTTTTTTTTTTTTTTAGAGATGGGGTCTCACTGTGTTGCCCAGGGTGGGCTGGACTTGAATTCCTGGGCTTAAGTGTTCCTCCCACCTCAACCTCCCAAATAGCTGGGACTATCAGCGCATACCACCATGCCTAGCTCTCCTATATATTTAAATAATCTCTACTTATAATACCTAATGTAATTTACATGCTATATAAATAGCTGTTATACTGTATTGTTTAGGGAATAATGACAAGAAAAAAAGGTCTGTACATGTTCAGTACAGATGCAACTGTCCATTTATATTTCAAATATTTTTGATTGACAGTTGGTTAAATCCATGGATGCGGAAGCCACAGATAAGGAGTGCCAACTGCACTTGTACTTCTACCTGTCATTTTGCCTTTCAAAAGACTGGAAATGAAGAAAATGCACCAGAACTCAAAACCTGATGGAAACAATTAGGCAAGGACTCAGGAGCAAAGAATTTGAGCTGATGGGAACCTCAGAAATCATCCAGTCCCACCCTCATCTGCAGA